AGAGCCCCCCCCCAAGAAAAAAAACCTTTAAAAAAAAAAAAAAAAAAAAAGAAAGAAAGAAAAGAAATACATTGGGTGAATGTGTGTCCAAAATCCCAGGGGGAGAATGGAAGAGAAGGGACTGTGGCGTGGCCGCCCCCTAGGGGGTGATTTCTCACTTTCCCTCTCTCCCTCCTTTCTCTGTCTGTCACAAATGCACAGACTCTATTGGAAAGAAAAACCATTTAACTGGACTGTGGCGTGGCCGCCCCCTAGGGAGGTGATTTCTCACTTTCCCTCTCTCCCTCCTTTCTCTCTCTGTCTCTTGCAAATGCACAGACTCTATTGGAAAGAAAAACCATTTAACTAAAAGAATAGCAAGGTACTAAGTCATGAGAGCTTACAGGAGAACAGGACCCTCTCTGGAGACCCTGGAGGGCAGGGGTGAATGACAGCACCAGGCGCCCTCCGTACCTCAGCTGGGTCCCAGCTCCCCTCCCTGCCTCCCGCAGACACGTGGCTCCCGTGGGGCCGCTTACCTCGGGGCGAAGGTTCCACGTAGTCTACCACGGCCACCTTCCTCCCCAGCTGGGCGGCTGGAACGGGAAGAGCATCAGGTGAGCAGGAGAGGGCGGCTGGCACGGGGCTGGGGAACAGAGCCTCCCAGCAGCCCCTGGGGCCTGGGCCTCGGATGCCCACCCAGCAGCCCAGGTGAGCAAGGCCAGGGACCTCTGGTCTGCCCTAGAGTCTGACCCTCAGGCCACACTGCCCACCACCACTGTACCTCATCTCCTGGCCTCCCCACTGCCCACCCAGCTGCACTGCCCACAGGCAGGACCCTCAGGCCTCTTCTTGGACCACCGCCCTCGCACCGCCTCGCCCTGGAGCTGTGGGACCAGCACCCCCTGCACCCCACGTTCCAAGTCCTGACGTGCAGCAGGAGCTCAGCCCACACAAACACGGGCATCGCAGGAGCCGCCCAGCCTCCACCCTGCGGAGGCCCCACAGGACCCCCCACCCCCCCGCAGCCCACCTCCTGTGTGTTCCTGGAGGCCCAGCTCCTCTCCTCCCTCCGGCAACAATGAATGGCACACGGAGTGGGACCTCCACCCACAGTCCCCCTCCTCCAAGCCCTCAGGGTGAGGAGTAAAGCAGGACCAACGAAGCAGCAGGTCTGAGGCCCAGCAACAGCACGGGGGTGCAGGCTCTGGATTCTCACATGGCCAGCTCTGCAGCTGGAGTCCTGGACCCAGGGGCTTGAAAACCATGCTGGCCATGTGTGCACATGTGCCCAGAGTCCCAGGAGGAGAAAGGAGAAAGAATGGTGAGGGGTGATTTCTCACTTTCTCTCTGCCTCGCTCTGTGTCTCTCCAGTGAACGCACGTGCCTTATGTCAGAAAAACAGGGACCAGCAGTTAGCATAATGGCTATGTCGCTGGACTCCCATGTAGTTGACCGCGGCTCGAGTCCCGGACCTGGTGGCTTAAACTCACGCCGGGCCGTGTGCGTGCATGCCCAAGATCCCGAGAGGAGAATGGAGGAGAAGGGATTGCGGTGTGGCCATCCCCCCTGGGGGGTGATTTCTAAGCCACCGGGTCCTGGACGCGAACCACGGTCGACTACGTGGGAGTCCAGTGACGTAGCCATTACGCCAACTGCTGGTTCCCATTTTTTGTTTATTTTAAAGTAATTATTAACGTACTTTTATTTATTATTATTTTTATTTGGCTATAGGACACATGCACTTACCAGAGAGAGACAGAGAGAGTGAAAGAGCAATCCGCCAGGCTCAGGACTCAAACCGCGGTAGGCCATGTGGGCATCTAATGCCTTAACCACCATGCCACCTCCTGGCCCCATCATCATCATTTGGTTTTAACTGCTAGAGGGTGTGTGTGTTCACCAGAGACAGACAGAGAGGCATTACCAAGCTGTAACCCTGTCTCTCCCATTTCTCTCTCTTGTTGAGATGTGAGGCACACACGCACACAAACCTGGTATGCATTACAAGTCACGGGGGGGGGGGGGGGGGGTTGGATTCGAACCGTGGTTGACCACGTGGGATCTGGCTCCCTTAACCACTCAGCTCCAGGGCCAACCCCTTCTGCCACTTTGATCTCACACGCTGGCTTCTAGAACTACCAGAAAAGCAATGTCTGTTCTCTGAGCCAGCTAGCCTGCGGGACTTTGTCCCTGCAGCTCCACAGATGGCTGAGTGGTAAGATATATTTTCTATCTTTTTTTTAGGGGGGAGAGGTTTTTGCTATAGGGCACGTGCACTCACCAGAAACACAGAGACAGAGAGACAGAAAGCGAGAAATCAACCCCCAGGGGGGTGGCCACGCCGCAATCCCTTCTCCTCCATTCTCCTCTCGGGATCTTGGGCATGCACGCACACGCGCCCGGCGTGAGTTTAAGCCACCAGGTCCGGGACTCGAGCCGCGGTCAACTACATGGGAGTCCAGCGACGTAGCCATTACGCTAACTGCTGGTCCCCCAAGTTGTCCGCTTTAAAAAATGTACAGTTTATTGTTTATTAATTATATCTCAACAAAGCTGGGGGAAAGTGGCCGTCCACAGGGGAGCTGCCACATTCACGAAAGGAAAACGAAAAGACAGACCCGGGGACCGTCTGAGTTCCGGATTAAAGAGACGTGTTTCTCTAGAGCCACGCCACCGAAGGGGACACACAGTCTGCACCGAGGAACATCACTGGGCCACCCAGCCATCTCTGCCATCCATTTCCGGGGCTGGCCTGAGGTCCAGTGGGTGCTGTCCCTGCCTGCCTGCTCCTGTGGGTACCATTACAGGTTCCTGTCCCCACCAGGCCAGCGCTGTCCCCCATCCTGGGAGCATGAGAAGCGCACAGTAGGTTTCCTTTACACCATCTGCAAGCCCGAGACCAGTACTGATGACAGAGGACCCCAGTTGCACGGCCAGAGCACCTGGTCACCCCCTTACCCGGGCACCCTTCTGCCCACCTGCGCCCTCCCCACTTGCCTGCATCTGTCCGCTTGTCATCATTCAGACGACGGCAGAGTTCAGATGACAGATTTGCGAACTCCAATGGTGAACAAGAGTCGCAGAGAGGCACCCCCTGAGTCGCAGTGAAAGGCAAGGAGGTGTCTCCGGCCGCCCCTAGGCCCATCTGGCCTGTCTTTGCTGAGCACCCACAGGTGCCAGTCTGAGACAGACACGGCCGGG